TGTACATGTCTGTGTGCACATGCATGTGCATATGCATTTGTATAAGTATGTAATAGCTTATATGTGTCTATGCATATATGTGTGTCATGTAGACATGTGATTTTACATGCACACATCTACATTTCATGTGTCTGTGTGTACATGTATGTGTGAGGGGTAGCTCTTAGCCTATGTAGGTGGTGCTGACTGTCACCCTCATTGCTTTGGTGACAATGGATCCTAATAGTGCCTGTTCCACCTACTGCTTGGCAAGGTGATCAGAGACATGGGCAACGCTGGGTGCTCAGTGCTTCTTATGTGACCCAGCATGCTGTTGGGCGTCAGGGAGCTGGGCTACAAGCTCTCTGGGGCCCAAGTTCAGGCCTGGTACTCTAATGAGTCCTGGATGTGTGGTAAGGTTCAAGGCAGGTGTGGCTCTGTCCTCTTAGCTTTTGTGGTTCATCTGGGAAAAGACTGCCCGCAAATGGTCACATTGCTGTTTGATTGCCCTGGGGCATGTGCCAGGAGACAGTTACAGCGTCCCAGTGGTACTGGACACGGGCCAGGGGCTCCTGGCTTGTGTAAGGGGTCAGAGTGGTTTGCCTGGGGTGGTGGCCAGAGCTTAGCAGATGTTCCCCCCTGACCAGGACAGGAGCAGTCAGGTGGGCAGGCTTGTGCATACGTGGCTGCCCGGGGCTTCTAGGTTTATGTCAGCGGAGAGCAGGGACAGGCTTAGCAGAGTCGGAGCAATGTGACCAGATTGGTGTTTTTAAAGAATCAGAGGCACCTTGGAGACCAGGCAGGGGAGCAGGGTCTCTGCCAGGGGCTGGAGTCAGGATGGTGCTGAGGCCTTTGCTGGTGCTAAGGCAGACATCTGCAGATATTTGTTGAGTTGGTGACCATGCGGTCTGCAGCAGGATTAGGATGTTGGGAGGATCCGGGGACACCATCTCAGACATGCTAGGGGCTCTGAAAGCATTTGAGGTCCAGGTTCAAGTCTGGACTTGCCTGATATTCTTTGGCACCCCACACCCGAGAGGACGAGGACAGGGCATGGCAGGTGGCCTGGGCAGCAGGTGCCTCTGCACCAACCCTGGCTGAGAAGGGCACGAGTATGTTCCACAGTTGCTGTCGCTGTGTCAAAGTTCTTAATTTTGGAACGACCCTTGTCTTCTCATTCTGCATGAGGGCTCAAGTTCTGGGTGGTTTTTGCTTGTGAGAAGGTCTCATTAGTTTAAGCCCCCAGCTTCCTGACCTGAACTCCTGATCCCCTTTGCCTCCCCCTCCCTGAGTGCTGGGACTTCAGGCCGTAGTGTATCATCCTAACAAGTCAGGAAGGCTGAGTGTTGACAAGCGGTGGTGGCACACACCTTTAATCTCAGCACTTGGGAGGCAAAGGCAGGCAGATCTCTGTGGGTTCGAGGCCAGCCTGGTCGGCACAGTGAGTTCCAGGACAGATCAGGCTATCCAGAGAAACCCTGTCTCTAAAACAACAACAACAACAAAAATATGTGTATACTATGAAACTTGAAGTGAGGTCTAGAAAGGCTTTTTCAGGTCAGATGAGGGAGGCCAGGTCCGAGCCAACAGCCACACCTACCTTTGCTGAGGCCTCTTTTTGAGGGTCTCCCTAGGTGTCCGACCACAGTTGCAGCAGGTGTGAATTAGCACATGGTCTCATGAAGGAAGCCTGGGATGGGCATACATGCAATTAGCCGTGGGCTGTTGATGAGCAGCTGAGCGCTTGTGATTGTCAGAGAGCTAATGCCTGCCTCAGTTTCCATTCCAGGCTGCTGTGCTCCTCACACTATGTCCCTGGTCGGCCCCCAGCAACTCCCCCACAGTGCAGCTGGCTCTGCCTTGCATCTATCTGAGTAACGTCTCTCGTGAGACTCTGCTGGCTGCCAGCTCATGAAGGCTGTCACCTGTCTGTGACTGGACCAGCGCTCAGGATTCCAGGGTGGGGCCTAGAGCGAGGCCACGCTAGTGTGAAGCAATCCCCCTCTGCGTACGTGCACCCGTCCATCTGTCGTAATTTGGAAGCTCAAAGGGGCAGTGGTTTTTCCCAAGCTTGTTCCCTTCCTTTCACATTTGTATATGTATTTGGAGGCATGGGGTGCTGCTGTGAGCTTGTGGTGGTCAGAGGGCGACTTACAGAAATAGCTTCTCTCCTTTCTCCATATGGGTCTCAGGGTTGCCCCGCAGCGGTCGCTGATGGGCCATGTGACTGGCCCTTGTTCTTGAACACCTTTCAGCCGGTCGTGGTAGCTCATGATGGAAGCTGAGGCAAGAGGATCACCCTCAAGTTTAAGGCCAGCCTGGGGAGACTGGGCTAGACTGAGATCTTCTAAGCCCCTCCCCAACAGAACCCGCACACCGAAAGGAACAACAATAGCATTTTTTTTCCAGACTCAGGATGTGTGGCTGAGTGGTTAGAGGACTGTTTAGCCTTTCTGGGGCCTTGGGTTTCCTTCCCAGCACGGCAAATCAAACAGACAGGGCACTAAAAAGACTTCCAGGGAGAAAGAAAGCAGGAACCCAGGGGAGTTAGACAGAGGCAGGCAGCTCTTGAGAGCTTCAGGGCTGGGCTGGGGGCCCTGTCTGGTCTGAATCCTCCTGGGGAATCAGCAACCCCATGCGGAAGTGCATGTGGACCTGGGCCGGAGGGATTGCTGGGGGTGGAGAGACAGGTTTGTTGTGCCTGGATATGCTCAAGGCCTAGCCTGTCACACATGACTGAACTTAGCAGTGAGAGGAACAGAAAATTTAGCAGAGCCTGGGGCCGAGGAGGCGGCCCCAACTTGTGAAGTGCTTGCACGCAGGTGTGGGGACCGGCGTTTAGATCCCTAGAGTGTAGGTAAAAGCTGGCTGGCTGGCTGGCTACCCGGGGTAGCTCAGGCTAACCTTGAACTTGCTGTGTAGCTGAGGATGACTTTGAACTCTTCCTCTTCCTGCTTCCATCTCCCGAGGACTGGGGTCCCAGGCAGGTGCCTGACCAGGAATGCACTTCTAACAGGAGTGGGGCTCCCGGCCAGCAGTGGGGTGAGGAGGTGGGCAGAAAAGGGTGGGGGCAGCGGGTGTGAGCCTTGGTGATATGTCACCAGGCCTCACTGGAAATCCAGTGGCGCAGTCGGGCTCATGGGCAGTAGACCGCCCTCCGTGGCCACGTGTGAGCAGGTGTTACCTTGTTCCCTGTCTCCACGTAGGGCTCTCCTAGGTGATGGTCCTTGGGTCTGATAACAATCTGAGGGGCCCTGAAGCCTGGAGTGAGTTCTCCAGTAGCCACTGTGTCCCTAGGAGCTTGGGAGCTCTGGGGTAACCCAGCTGGGCTGGCGGGTCCTTTCCTCTCTGAGTGTCCACACCAATCCTGACAGTGTCTACTGCAGGCCTTTGCTGTGCATGTGCCTGGGGCTGACAAGTTACTGTGCAGCTCTTGCCGTCTGCCTAGCCCAGGTATGACAGATCTGAGGTCCCAGGATGGGGAGGACCTTGCCTGGCTTCCCATGCCACCGAGGGAGCCGAGACTAAAACCTGTATGTGGTTTGGCCAGGCTTGCTTTGGTTCAGTGGCAGCCACGTGGAAGCCAGTCTTCCAGGATAAGAGAGTGAAGAGTCAGGTAACAAGAGAGTAGGGGCATTGCAGCCTTGCCTGCTGCTGGTTCCTGCTGGGAGTGGTGGAGACAGCATGGAAGGAGTAGGAGTTGTGGACAGGAGGGAGAGGACGCTGAAGCCCAGAGGTCTAAGGTCACATGGTAGCCAGTGGAGGGGTCAAGAGTCATCCCCAGGTCAGCTGACCCCATAGCCATTGGACTCTGGAGCCTCCTATTGGTTCCCACAGTTGCAGAAGACCAACTCAAAAGTCAGTAGGGACACATGTGGCAGGCGGAAGGTCTACTGAGCTGTAGTCTCATCCTAGTCTGTATTCAAGTGCTGTGTAGTCCAGGAGAGCCCCTAGCCTCCAGGAGGCCATAGTCACCACTCTAAGGTCATAGAACTGTGTGGCTTCGTGTGTTTACCTCACTGATGTCTGGGAAGATCCAGTTTTGCCAATATTTGTCCATATTATAGACTCAAAGTGACAAGTCCCTGTCAAGAAACAAATAGGGTTTTTCCAGATCCCAGTTGGTTTCTAGTACTAGGCTAAGAATCTTCTGGTGAAGGGGTAGTCTGGTTTGTGAAGGTACTGAAGAAACAGTCTGGGTCTTTAAAAAATATCATATATACGTATTAAAAAATTTTATTTATGTATTTTATGTATATGGGTGTTTTGTCTGCATGTACATCTGCATGCCAGAAGAGGGCATTGGATCTCATGGGACTACAGTTATAGACGATTGTGAGCCACCATGTCGGTGCTGGGAATTGAACGCTCGGGATCTCTGGAAGAGCCACCAGGGCTTTCTTGTTTTGTTTTGGTTTTTGTTTTATGAGACAGGGTTTCTCTGAAACAGTCCTGACTGTCTTGGAACTTGCTTTTTAGACCAGGCTGTACTCGAACTCACAGAGATCCCCCTGTCTCTGCCTCCCGGGTGCTGGGATTACAGGTGTGCGCCACCACCAGCTGCAGTCAGTGCTCTTACACACTGAACCATCTCTCCCATCCCTCCAAAATATTTTGTTTTTAACGTGTGTGTGTGTGTGTGTGTGTGTGTGTGTAGGTGCATGGGTCCAAGTGCCCACAGGGACCAGAAAGGGCACCAGATCTCCTGGAGTTGGAGTTACAGGCGTTTGTGAGCTCCTGATTTGGCAGCTCTGTGAGAGTCGTATATGAGCAGTGAGCCGCCTCTGCAGCCCAGTGCTGAGGTATTAAAGCTGCCTGGGACTGCACTCATATTACCTGGTATTGAATGTCCTGTTTATTGTCTGCTGTGCCCCACATTAGCCCCATGAGCAAAGGCGGCTGGGTCTGCTGAGCACCGTCTGTCCCCAGGGTCCAGGACAGTCCCTGACCCACCATGAGACTTCAGAAAAGCCTTACCCAATACTGAGAAAATAACCTGGCCTTCTTCCCCCCACCCCCAGGTCCAGCTGGGAGCTCCCTGATCTCCAGGAAGGCAAAATTGAAGCCATCAGTGACTCGGATGGAGTGAACTACCCGTGGTATGGCAATACCACCGAGACCTGCACAATCGTGGGCCCCACCAAGAGAGACTCCAAGTTCATCATCAGCATGAATGATAACTTTTACCCCAGCGTCACGTGGGCCGTGCCCGTCAGCGAGAGCAACGTGGCCAAACTGACCAACATCTACCGGGACCAGAGCTTCACCACGTGGCTGGTGGCCACCAACACCTCGACCAATGACATGATCATCCTCCAGACGCTGCACTGGCGGATGCAGCTGAGCATTGAGGTGAATCCCAACCGGCCCCTGGGCCAGCGCGCCCGGCTGCGGGAGCCCATTGCCCAGGACCAGCCGAAAATCCTGAGCAAGAATGAGCCCATCCCGCCCAGTGCCCTGGTCAAGCCCAATGCCAACGATGCTCAGGTCCTCATGTGGCGGCCCAAGTACGGGCAGCCGCTGGTGGTGATCCCACCCAAGCACCGGTAACAGCCAGGCTGCTGCGAGGTGAGACTCACGGAAACAATATTACTACTCAGAAGGAAACCCAGATGCCCTCTCCGGTCATTCAGAAAAATACAACCATTCTACCTTCTCCAGGGGCGGATCTCACTGTGCTAATCCCCGCTGGCCTCCTGGCTCTCCCACCTGCTTCCCCACAGGACACACAGGTGTCCCCCGCTCCGTCACCTCTGATCTTCTCTTCTCCCCTCCCAATCAGTTATTCATTGCAGCCGATTCCTGAAACACTGCTTTTATTCTTTCTTCTCTCTCTCTCTCTCTCTCTCTCTCTCTCTCTCTCTCTCTCAGATTCAGGGGCAGGGGAGGAGGCTGACTGTAAGGGGACCCAGCCTGCCCCTCCCGCCTCCCCTCTGTCTGTCTTCTGCCATGCGGCCTTATGTAGACTTGCTTTGCCAAACTTTTGCCTTAAGCTGAATTTAAAGAAGAGGAAAGGAAAGGTCCCGGGTCTCTTCCCTGCAGGGCCTGCCTTCTTCTGCCAAAGTTGGAAAGAGAGGCGGGCCTAGAGGGAGGCCCACCTGAGCCCACTCTTCCTGGGTGTCTGGGTGAGGGGCAAGAGTGGGGGCTCAGGTCTAAAGCCAGCTGTTTTATTACATTGTCTTGGCAGAATCAAAACTACAGACTCTGCCTGGAACCCCTACTCTGCCCCGGTAGAACCTCTCCTTAGTACCTGCCAGGGGTGCCAGCTGGGCACAGATCCTTGACCCCGGCTCTCTTCTCAGTAGCCTTAACTTGCCTGGTGGGATATTCTGGGAGAAGGAAGGGACAGGTCCCAAAGTGTTAGGTCAGGGTTAGGAAACTTTCACCTTTGCTAACTCTAGAACCCGCCCCTAGGTATGTGGCTTTTTTTCTTCCATTTACCTTGGTCCCAAATACCTGGCAGGGTGGGCTGGGGTGGGGCATTGCCTCCGAATCCTGATTGTCTGAGCTGTGCTAAGGGAAAGAAGGTGTACCCTTCCCTCCTGACCTGTATTGTCACACTTGAATCCGGGGTCCCGGTGCCCCAGGCTGCCCATCCGTGCCCCAGGCTGCCCATCCGCTAGCACACTGTAAAGAAGCCAATGACATGGCTTCTGGCTCATTCTCAGGGGAAGCAGCTCCCAGACTCTCTGGGGGTGAGCTGTAGATGGGCTCTAAGCACCAGTTGGAGGGTGCTTGGGCCCCCTTCCCTCCCCATCATAGGTGCTCCTGGGGTGGGGAGGTCTGGGGAGCAGTCGGCTGACTCCCTGTTTCTTGTCTGAAGAAGGAAGCCCAGGCCCAGGGCTGGAGAGTCCCATGTTTGGGCAATGTCAGGTCACTGTGAAACTGGTTTGACACATTGGCCAGTCTTAGGGTCTACCTTCTGGAGCCCTAGAACTTGGCCTTGAGTGATGCCAAGGTTTCTAGAAATGTCTGCTTTGAGCTGCCTGAGGGATATTCCTTTAAGCGTGCCAACAGCTGCATCACTGGATTCCAACCAATAATAAGCACAGAAAAACGTCATACAAGAAAAATAATGGTTTTGCTGCTGATGAGCCACTGGTAGAGGGGTCTTGGTGACAGCATGGAAAGGCACGGCTAGATCCCAGCTCTGTTCCTACACTTGTGACATATTTCCTTTAGGGGTGCTTAATGTCCCGTCATTCTCAGGCCACTAGAGCTGGGGCGGGGTTGGGGGGCTGGAGTCACCTGGAGTCCAGTGAGCTGAGCAGATGGGGGTACTGGAGAGAGCTCTGGAGAGCTACTTGTCATGGCTGGACCTCCCCTGGGACCTTCCCTTTGCGTGTGTGGAGGCTGTCGCCTTAGCTGGGAGAGCATGGGGTCCCCACCCTGCTCTAGGCCAGGACTGGCCATTGGCTGGAAAGTCTCCTTCTGCTTTCAGGACTCCTTGCCCTGAAGAAAGAAGATGGGCCCTGGTGAGGGTGGAGGCGAGCCCTTGCCCTGAGCTGGGTGGTCACTAAGGGTGTCTCCCTGGACACGGGGACTCCCAAACCCACGTTTCTTGAGATCCCTCCCCCCCGCTGCATGCCTGGCTTTGCCCACCTGGCTTCTCTGGCTCTCCTTTCTCTCTACCCTCCTGCCTGACCCAAGACAGGGCTGGGGAGACTCCAGAGAGGCTGTGTGGGGGGGTCTGACCGAGAACACCCAGCTTCCCTTGGGCTGGCTTCCTCAGCCCATTGCCTCATGTTGTGACAGACCCCAGGCTTTCTGGGGTCCTGATCCCTCTACCGCTGTCCCTCACGCCCACGCCTCCCCAGGCGTGAACACTCTCTGTTTCCAGCAATAAGCACCAACTATACTTGGCCATGGAGATACTGTGAACACAGTCCATGCGTGCACTTACCAGCAGGCGCGAGACTCTTGAAGACAATGTCAAATGAACCTTTTTTTAAAGTTTAAAGTAAAAGATATAAAGAGAAATAAAATTAATTTTAAAGCACCCCTGGCTCTGGTGGTGATTACGTGGGGTCTCAGGCTCACTGTGGCTGGCCAGGGTGAGCGTGTTTGGGAAGATTCTGTGTGGCTGTGGTTCCCGTGCTGAAAGACACGAACTCTGGCCTGTCAATCTGTACACCTGCTCTGTCTCATGGCCCTGTTTCCATGGGAACTGGCTCTTAGACTGCAGAAATATTTCTGACAGGGGTCCCAGGGCAGGAATAGACTTGGGGATTGCTGTTTTTTGTTTGTTTGTGTTTTTGTTGTTCCTGTTTCTCTTTCTCTCTGTGTGTGCACACATGTGCACACATGTTTCTGTTTGGAGACCAGAGGTTAATGTTTTCTAGGACTCTCTACCTCATTTTTTGAGACGGTCTCTTTGTGAACCTGAAACTCAAATTCCAGATTAGATTGGTTGCCCAGAAACCTCTAGTGACCCCAGTGCAGGGGTCACAGGCTTATTCCATTATGTTGGGCTTTTACCCGGGTTCTGGGGATCAACCTCTGGTCCCTCTGCTTGTGCAGGTGACTGAGCCCTCTCCCTAGTCACCGAATTTTTTCCCTTCCCTTCCTTTCCCTTCCCTTCCCCTCTCCTCCCCCCCTTTCTTTCTTTCTGAGACAGGTTTTCACAGTTTAGCTCTGGCTGTCCTGTAACTCGCTTTGTAGACCAGGCTGGCCTTGAACTCACAGAGCTCCGCCTGTCTCTGCCCCCCAAGTGCTGGAATTAGAGGTGTGCACCACTATATCTAGTCTTCAAACTTAATTTTTTTTTTCTTTTAGGATAAATAGACATGCGTATCAAAGGTGGCAGGCGTTTAGATCAGGTCCTTATTTGCGTCACCCATGGACCATTTGCAAATCTCACACACACAAGGTCGGGCACACAGCTGTGCACCTGTCCCTCACTAGCTGACAAGAGTCAAGTGGGTCAGGTATACCAGGAGGACGCTGTCTCCTCACTGGAGCATCTGTATGAAAGGTTGGGGACCCAAGGTTGCTGGAGTGACTCTGTGTCCTGGTGGTGACTCCGGCACAAGGCCATTTGCATGGACTTGACTGAAACCCAGACCTTGTGGAAAGCGGCTCTTGAGCACTGCCTGCTGCTAGTGTGGATGAACGAGTTGGGCTTTGATGAACTCACCATGATGGTCCCTGCCCCCCTGCCCCAACTTATGGACAAGGAAGCAGGGAGTGTGTGTGTGTGTATGCAGTGTATGCATGCGCGCGTGCGCATGCAAGAACTGGCAGACTTCATATCTTAGAAGAGGTAGCCAAGATTCAACTCCTGGCCTGAGTCACTGACCACTGCAGATGACTATGGGCATACAGTTGATGCCAAATAATAGTTGGTTATTATTAAGAAAGCCCTCAGCTTGCAGTACACCCTCCACCCAGGGTCCTCAGGTAGAAAACACCTTTCTCCCTACAGCACTTCCTAGAAGTCTGAGCATTTAGTTATGTGCGGTCCACAGAAAAGCAGGCTTTGAAGAGGGGCTTGCTTCACCTGCGGGCTGGTTCCCCAGAGTGGGCATGGCCTCTCTGTAGTGCTCTGGGTTTTTTACATTGCTGCTCCAATGCAGGAAGTTGCATCATGGGTTTCCCTGGCGCGCTCCACCCGGATGGCTTGTGGGTGGTGCTTATGTCAGAGTTTTGTTTGTGATTGTGGAATCGGCTTCTAAGTATTGTGCACAAAGATCCGTGGTGTTTGTGGCTGTGTGTGTGTGTGTGCGCGCCTGCGCACATACGTGTGTCCATCAAAAGAGAAGTTCAGTCAGATCACACAGGCCAGAGCCGAGGACCTTAGGAAGCCATCGTCGCTGCAACATGCAGCCATGACAGTGGGGTGTGGCTGCCTGAGTTTGGGGACTGGAATGTGCAGGAGTCAAGTGGCTCACAAGTGACATTTGATGGCTCAGTGACAGCCCTCTCCCTGCCTTAGCTGGTGGCAAATTAAATTCAGAAGTCCAGGCGAGGCTGAGAGAGAGAAAGAGATGCCAGGTCTAGACAAGCAGGGGCAGGGTCCCCTCCAGGACCCCAGGCCTGGGGCCAAGTGTCTGGAATGGGCAAGCCCACCACTGAGAACTTCCAGGAAGCAGGTGCTCGTGACCCCCTGCTTGCCCACTGCTGTGACAGCTCCTCCTCCGTGCAGCCTCTGCTCTGGCCGCTCTCCCAGAAGAGCCAGAAACTCGTAGAATCAGCCATGAGGCCACAAAGGAAACGCAGCAGGGTCCCAGTTGGGTGACTTACTGGGGGCTATAGTGGAACTCCCAGGCCTGCAGAGGAAATTTCTAGAAGTTGCAGTGCTTCTTGTGGCTTTATGTCATCCTCAGTGCCCCCCGGGTCCTCCACGGACACTGGCTCCCACCTGGTTGGGGTCCAGGCACCCGAGGTGGCAACTGGTCACAGCACATGCACTACCCCTAAATTCTCCATTAAGGGGCTATGAGAGACAGTTGCTGATGTGCTTGCCATGCAAGAATGAGGATACATGCGTTCGCACACACCGGCTTACCAAGTCATAACACAAGTAGCCACAGGGAAACCCCAAAGCCTACAGCCTTGCACAGTCCTCGCACCCTTTCCTGCCTGTGGCTCACAGGAGCTATTCCACATTCTCAGTGGAAGACAGTGGCCCTGAGAAGGTCTCCGATCTCCCTCTGCCTCCCTGGTGCAGCCCTGGCCTCTCGACTCTCCTTTGCTCAGTGTGCCGTGCAAAGCTGGACATGCTGCTTACACGCTCATGGTAAGCACTTCTTTCCCTTGAGATAGGGTCTCTCCCTGAACTCCCGATTGGCCTGGAATTAAGTATACGTCACAGATTGGCCTTGAACTTACAGCAATCCTCCTGCCTCAGTCCTGAGTGCCGAGACGGTATGTGTGTGCCACTGTACCCAGAAAGAGCAGGTGTGTGCATGAACTCCGCTTCTGGGCTGTGTCCAGCGACACAAACTTCTGATCACATTGGGCCCTGCCAAAAGTCAACCCATTTGCTGCCTGGGCACAGCCCTGTCCACTTGGTCCCCAGACATGCCGGCTGGGAATGCAGAGACAGGATTATCTCCACTCCAGTTCTGGCTTTGGTTTGTAGTTTATCAGGTGACACTTTAAACCAGACTGGTGAAGGGGTGGCTCTCTGGGGAGAGCAGCTAGGCGCCCAGGACTATTCCTGGCTGCCCCCTGTCTTGCTGAGTGAGGTTTGGTGAGGCGACCACACTTGTCTTGTCTGTTCAAGCAGGAAGTATGCACACCTGGCCAGCCTTCCCCACTAGGCCAGGCGTCATTGACAGGGCTCTTGCTTGGACTCTCTGTCCTAAAAGCTAAAGTTATCCAGAGACCAGAGATGCTGTGTTCTTCTGGGATGAAGCTATTTCTGTGCACAGGCAGGATGCTAAGGGCAGGGTGTGTGTGGGGGGAGAGCATCTGCTGGGTGCCATGGTGACCTGGACTTCACTGTACCTTTGAGGTCTTTTATGATACCTTTGGGGGTGCGTGTTTACAGCTGTAAACCCGGGGTCCCTGACTCTTCTGATCGGATATGGTTCATCACCAAGGTGCGATAGGGAAACGGAGACCACGCAGGCCATGGCAGGGTGCTCCCCAAGTGGCAGGACACTGGCCCTAATCTGGCTGTTAGAGTTGAAAAAGGGTTCCATTGGGGGAGACCAGGTGTCTGTCACTGGGGAATTCTGTGCTGGGCAGAGGTTATCAGCCTGGTGGCAGCGTGCCTGAGCCTTGCAGCTGATTCTCACTGCGATCTATCAGACCAAGTGGTTAACCAGGGCTTTGGATGTCGTTAAGCATGAGGTTGAGGGATTTCCTGTAAACAACCTGCCACTTCCTGTGAAGGTGAGGCCAAGTAGTTGCTTGGCTCCTGTAAGTGACTCTGCCAAGCCCCTCAGCAGTCCTGCCTGACACCTGAGAGCCACACAGCATGCCAGCCTTCCTCATGAGACCTGGGTCCCACAGGAGCTGTGGCTGTGAGGCTGATGATCTCACAGCCCGAGAACCCAGAAATGCTAATCCTACCTTTGAGACACTTTATCATCCATGGAGGGAACATGTTCCCAAAGAGAAGGCTTTGTCCCCCTGTTAGTTGGACAGATGCCCGTAAGGTCCAGACTCAAGGGTCCAGAGAACACTCTGAGGGACCACCTCACCCTGCCGTGCTGAACCCCAGGCACACAGGGCTGCATGAGGGAACACAGATGAGCAGGCACGGGTCCACCTGGGATGGCAGACGTGGTCTAAACACCTGGAATCTTACTGATCTTATTAGAGTTGCTTGGAGTAGCAGGAAGGCTATGTTGCTCTTTTTAAAAAAAACAGCTTCTCAGAGACAAGTGACTGAGTGCTGTAGGGGATCAGAGTTTCCTTCCCAGCACCCATGTTGGGTGACTCACAACCACCTGTAACTCCAGGGGCTCCAACACCATCATCTTCTGGCCTCTGTGGGCACTGCACTCTAGTAAACACACACACACATACATGCAGACCCGTGCATGTGTGCACGCACGCACACACACACACACACACACCTTTTAGCCATCAGCCCTCCCTCCTGCCCTCTCTGCCTCTACCATCCCTCAGCACCCACAATCCTGCCTTGTTACTACAGTGTGATTGTCTTTTCTAGGTTTTTATATGGATGAACCCAACGGCATGCATTGTTTTGGGCTGACTTCTCTCGATTACATGACATTGCCCCTGTTGAGAAGTCTGTATCCATCATCCTTCACCGCCAAACTATGCCTCAATCACTGTGTTTGCTCACTTTTAATTTTTAAGATTCAAAAATTTTTTATGAGTGTTTGTGCATGTATGTCTGTGCACTATGTGTGTTCCTAGTGTGCCCATGGAGGTCATAAGAGGGCTCATTTGGATCTCCTGAACCAGTTATGGGTGGTTGTAGGCCACCAAGTGGTGCTGATGACCAAACCCTGGCCATCTGCAAGAGCACCTCACCACCGCGCCATCTCTCCAGCCCCTTGGGTTGGCAGTGAGGCC